ATATCAGTAGCTTGGAAAGATTGTGTTAGAACGAATATTCTTGTACCTAAAATATCTAGTAATCGTGGCGCACAATCAGTGTGAATTCCAAGAACGGCGTTTTATCAAAAAAAACATACCGTTTAGGTCGGGTTGATGATCAGAACGTTCAGAATTCATTGAAAAAGCGAACGCACTAGCTCCTTGCAACTTCACCATACTCCGTTCATTAGATAGACGTAGACTCGGGGACAATCTCAGTGTCTTTTGGTTCTTGTGCTCGATTAAATGCGGTGCATAAGCAAGATTTGCAACAGACTTCAAATCATTAAGTGTTTGTGCTTCACGGACACGTTTACGCAGCTCTTCCGGAATAGCTTTTGGGCCTAGTGATTGTCCACTGAGCGTAAACGATAACAGCAGCGTCGAGAGTATTAACATATTCTATAACGAATTTTTAAAATCTGCAAAAAAATGAAAATTAAAAATTTGGAGGAGGGAGAGGCGAGGGAATAATTTCAAAATATTTTGATACTTTGGATTAGCTGCACTCAATTTCTTCAAATTCGCCTACTGGTTAACTTGATATCGCCTGTTCCTTTCTCACAAAAGCTATGTGAGTCAAACGGTTCTTCCGACAAAAGCACTAATATAAAGCTAAGAAATGAGGGCCATTTTGTAACTCGGATGTATGCTAATGGGAAACCTTGCTATGCCAGACCTTTCGATCTCTTCAGTTTGCATAGGTTGAAGGATCAAATTAATGAACCGAAACATTCCTATCTACGCATATTAATGGAACAAAACGTCTTTACTTCAGCTGGTACTTTGTTTTAGTTAGTAACTTGGGACAAGTAAAAAAAAATGAAACAAAAAGATGTAGCACACTGCACTCAGCCTGAAGCTGCTACATCCTGAATACATCAGCGCCTGTACGACGAAAATCTAGATAATTCAGAAGATTACGCATTTGTTATCAGATGATGTATGAATGATTATTTCATCCACTCGCAATGGCTCTCTTTTACCTCGTATTTGAATAGATTCACGATCAACTTGATGAGACCGGGGCAGGTCAGGCTGGTATTGGTTAAGGCCTAGGGTCGTAACCGTTAGCAAGAAGACCATATTCAAGGTTGTGAAACACAAGCTGGGATCGTTGTCCGGAAAGATAGCCCTCCTTTTTCAACTCTCAAAAAGAATTTGATATGTACTAAAACTCGAAGAATCAGCTGATGAAAACGCAGTAGCAAAACTGAGCATTAGTGCATCGTAGCTGGCCGGAGGAGCGTGCTTTTGTTAAAATACCAAAGAACGGAGATGAGAATAACGACGTTCTG